CGTCACGAGCGTCAGAAATTGTTAAAGTCATTAGCACGTTATTTTTATATTTAAATAATTTTTCCTTATTAACGGAAGGAATCGTTAATCAAAATGTTGGTATTGTTTGAAACTCCTGCCGGTTATGCGATTTTCAAGGTAAATTGTACTAAAAATTTCCAACTTGCCATGTAACCTAAAAAATGCACGTGTTTGTATCAATCACTTTGGATATATTTCTTACAGTTTAAATATATTGTTGTACAATTTAAATACAATGAAAATGCTTATTGGTTTACATGTCGTATAATTATGTTTGTGTTTTACAGTTACTTGATGAAAATAAATTAACGGAAATAGAAAATCTTTATCATGATTTTGAAACACCTGATGCAGCTAGTAAAGTGTAAGTAAAATTTAATTTCCAGAACTTATTTTTGTATCGTATTCCTACTGAATAATATCATTTAAAAATGCGGAAATATTTACAATTGCCATAAAGATTATAATTCAATAAATTCAAGTGTAAGATATATTATTATATATCTTCATATTAATATTTTAATATTGAAAATTAATTACAAAATGTTACATTTTTATCTTTTATGTTACAGAGTGAAGTTGATGCATTTTGAAAAGTTTGCAGATACTGCAGAGGCTCTTGCAGCTACAACAGCTGCTGTGGAAGGTAAACTCAGTAAATCATTGAAAAAGCTAATTAAGAGACACTGCACAGAACTTCAGGAACAACTAGCTGTAGCCGATGTTAAGCTAGGTAATGCCATAAAGGATAAACTAAGTTTATCTTGTGTTAGCAACACTGCTATACAAGAATTAATGAGATGTATCAGAAGCCAGATGGACAGTTTATTGGCTGGTTTACCGAAAAAAGAACTAACAGCGATGGCATTGGGCCTAGCGCACAGCCTTTCTAGGTATAAATTGAAATTTTCTCCCGACAAAATTGATACGATGGTAATACAAGCTGTTTGTCTGTTGGATGAGTTAGACAAAGAGCTAAATAACTATATTATGCGCTGCCGTGAATGGTACTGCTGGCACTTTCCAGAGCTCGGAAAGATCATCACAGACAACATAGCGTTTGTTAAAGCAGTGCAAGTAATCGGCACTAGAGAAAACACGATAAATTCAGATTTGTCTGATATATTGCCAGAAGATATCGAGCAGAGGATAAAAGAAGCCGCCGAGATATCCATGGGAACTGAAATTTCCGAGGATGATATTTTACACATTCAGAGTTTGTGTGACCAAATTATTGAAATTTCCCAATACAGAACTCAATTGCACGACTATCTTAAAGCAAGGATGATGTCGTTGTCTCCAAATTTAACTGTTCTTGTTGGGGAGTTAGTAGGAGCTCGTTTAATCTCACGTGTTGGCTCCTTAATCAGTCTTGCTAAACATCCTGCATCTACTGTACAGATACTTGGTGCAGAAAAAGCTCTCTTCAGAGCATTAAAAGCGAAAAAGGACACTCCAAAATATGGTCTGATATATCACGCACAACTTATCGGCCAAACTTCGACAAAGAACAAGGGAAAGATGTCTCGCATGCTGGCAGCCAAAGCTTCCTTAGCAACAAGGGTAGATGCATTAGCAGAAGATGGAAACTTTGATCTTGGTGCTGAACACAAAGCGAAATTGGAAGCACGTTTGAGGATACTGGAAGAAGGGAATTTTCGTCGAATTAGTGGTACAGGCAGAGCGAAAGCGAAATTTGAGAAATATCGTAGTAAAAGTGAATATATTCAATATCCTGCTGCTGCTGATGCAACTCTTCCAAGTGGAAAGAGGAAACGTTCCGAAATCGAGGAAAAAAAACCGTTGATCGAAGAAATTGTAAGACCGAGTGAAGAGACAGTTAAGAGAAAGAAAGAAAAGGAAATTGTCGATTTTAACAGTCTAGAAGAATCTGCAACTCAAGTTCACCCAGAGGAGAAAACACGAACATCAAAAAAGAAGAAGAAAAAGATGAAAATAGAGAACAACGTGGAAGGTGATAATGGCGAATCTAATTTCAAATTAGAAGAAGAAGAAAAAACGACAGAGAGAGTCCCTGGTATGTCAGAGGGTAAGTCTTCATTTGATGTATTCCGTGAATTTGAAATCTGACATGAACTGTACAATAAAAAATGTAATGTAACATGATGTTTTGTTATAGAGCAAACAAAGGAGAAGAAGAAGAGAAAATCAGATGAAGATCAGGAGATGGAGGAAGCTAAAGTCTCAAATGAAGAAACAGACGAGAAAGTTACAAGTAGGAAAAAAAAGAAGAAGAAAAAGAAATCTCAGAAGGAATGAAA